GTGCAAGACTGCCATGTGCAACTGTTGCAGCTTGATTTCTACGATGCAATAGGTTCATAAATCTCGAGATCTGAGCGAAGGAAATATTCTTTGCCATTTTTAAAATGCCTCTTTTTCAGATGATGAGGTCGAATTTTCTCTAGTCAAGCGCAGTGTAGTAAACCTTGGACTTCCGGTCCAAGGACTGTTATTCATGCTAATGATACGTAAGAGGCTGTTGAGGCGTGATGTGGTGCATATATTTGCACCTGCAACTCTCCATCATCTTTATTTTGAGATTTTCCAGCTAGAGCAATGGAAATGCGTACTTAAGTCATTTTCAGGAAGCCTTGGCATCGCTTACGGAAAAGAATGGAGAATTTATTTTTCGTAACATTGCAGCATTACTTATGATGAACAGGTACAAATCCTTAAAACCGCATATTATTGCCAAATGTTTTGTTACACATGCAATTTTTTATTTCTGTTAAGCGGACTCAAACTTAATTTTCGGTAATGGTATGAAAATCATTAAACCGTTAAATTACCGATATTTACAAAGTTGAAGATGTCCTTACTTTTTAGATACAAAATTATATCCTATTTGTAATATTTCCCCCTAAAATAGGATGTTGCGTTTCTTTTGCGTTTCAGTATATAGGTTCTTTTTGGGCAAATCTCAGGATCCATGTCATAATTTGCATTATGAACCTTCAAGGACTTATATTTGTGCACGGCTAACAGATTATTTTCAGAATGTATACATTTTGTCAGGAATCCTTGAGAAAAAAAAAAGCGATTTTCATAAAAATTTAATATATTTTTAGTACAAATGATTTATTTTGCCCCGCCCTTCAGTCTAGATGTTAAAAATAGTAAAAGAGTATACTAATTTTAGTGGTCTCTACCACCACCTCTTGGGCTTCAAAACAGTGGGGATCATGAATTTAGCGATTCATACCTCCTTTTTAGTTCAACTGTTTCAGGACATGGATTGGACTTGTCAAAAGTGACACTGTAGGAGCGACAGATGAGAATAGAAAGCAACCGACTCAAATGACTCATTTTCAAATTTTGTTAAGGTGAATATAGTTTAAGGTATTTCCATCCTCACAATTTCATGGGTTCAAAGTCGAAAACCTGAATTTATTTCACTGAATATAGTTTAAATTAATGAATAATCGCAAAAAATATATCAGTTGCCATATTTTAAGATATAAGGCATAAAATAGCAGAGACATATGTCAGGATTAAAAAAATCGTACATTTTTAGTAAACAGTATTATAAAAATTAGGTAAAAACTTGTTCAAATACATAATTGTGATGCTGAAAGTTCCAAAATAATTGCATAAACATGTTGAATTGTGAATATCAGGGAAACCATTTTACATTAGAAGTACAATTAGGAAAATGCCTGAATATAGATTCATGAGAAGAAGTTATAGCCCTAAGCAACATTTTTTAAAGATTGAATAATAGTTTAAATAAAGAAAATGATCTGTAAATAACGAAAATGCAACTATTGCAAGGAAGGTAATTGTGTCAACCATTGAATTTGCAAAATTTGACTTAAACATCAAGATTATTTGTTATTTGTCTGTATCGATTTGAAAATTGATCGTAGCTCAAAATTGAGTGAGTAGATTTCTTCCTCTTGTTCGTGAATAATTACATAAAATTGCAAAATTCTACACATGTCGTACAGAGCATTTATCAACTATCCAAAGAAGGATCATAAAAAATCAGGGGGAAAAATCAACTTTTGCTGCAATGTAATACCTATACACTCTACATATATTAAACGTACCATTACCTCATATATTTGGTATCTTCACATAATCATAGTACAGTCGTATATATGTGTCATTTTCCGTTTGTTTAATAAACAGAACAATTAAAGTTCAGTCCAATTTTCCCTTCATGTTATGTATTCGTTTGCAAATCTGTTTGTTTTCTTTACATATGCAGTGAACATGTAAACGTTCATGTAGTAAACAGGTTTTTTTTTTCATTTGCGAATTTTTTTCCAGAGTTTCAAAAGATAATCCTTCAAGGAATTGTTGATAATTGTGCTCTAGGGCTTTTGTGGAATATCGGAAATTTACATATTTACATACAAAATGGAATGAAATTGGCACTTTTTTCTTTAAGGCATGCAGTGGAAATAAATATTGACTTTAACGAGTAGATTAGTCATATTAAAAGTGGGATCGGAAAATGTTTCGCAAAATCTTAAAAGATTTTGAGATTTTTTTCTTCAGACATACACACTGGAAAGAATAAAGTTCACTTAGGACCTTTTTTGGTCCTGTGAATTTCTGAAAAATAAAAACTGCTCAGTTTTAGTTGAAAATAAATGAAATTTTACTTGGACCCTTGCTGACTGCATATCTATAAAAATTGACGTAATGAAATGCGTCATTATCCCCAAATCATGAAAAATTCTTCAAAAATGTCAAAAAATTGAAGCTGTTTTTCAATATTTTGCCTAGACCCCACCTCTGATAAAAATTTTGAATTATATAATGAAAGTACTGCTTCAGAAGATTATAATCCGTTTTATTCTTTAGATCGCAGGGTGGGCTCATATTTTAATCCAATGCTGAACGTGCTCAAATACACTCATTTTCGTCAAAATTCAAGAACATTACAATTTTACAAAGCCGCCTTTTTCAAAACCTGGACTCCGAGAGGAAACTTTTTTTTTATAGGAAATGAAAGCACTAAGTCTCTACTTGATATTGATTCTTAAAATGGGACATTGGGACTTGGTCATTAAATTTGTATATCGATAGGGAAGTTTTATGGAGTTAGTGAACCTAGCTCTTTGATTAAAAAATGTTTCTGTATTAATTGAAATACAAGTTGACTACATTCCCAGAGTCATTAGATAATTTAATATCGACATTTCAGACCATAATATGCATGCTTGCTGTTCCTGTCCCTTTCTGCATCATGGAATTGATATTTATCAATTTTTAATCGCAAAATATAAACGGAGTAAACAGAAAATTTTAATGCGATTCCATTGTAAACAGATGATTTAGAAAAAATCGATCTCTTGGTTCGTTATGTTCAGATATAGCTGAATAACGAATATAGTGTTCTAAACGCTAAAACGCGTCGAAACGCTAGTTATGGCTATGTACTCTAAATATTTAATTTGAGCGGAAATAAAAAGAAAAACAAAAATTTGTTTTTATTTTTGTATTCTCACTCTTTCTCGTGACTCTGGTATCAGATTTTGATTTTGACGTACCCATTGTATATTAAACAAGGATAGGGTTCACTAAGTTGAATTAACTTATATGCAATCCTTTTGTATTTATTGAAAGTATACAATATTGTATGTTCAAAACAGAACTCCTTTGTGCGATTTAAAAATAACACTTTGACAATAAGTTAAATGACTTAATCTGTTTTTTTTAATGGATAAATCCTTAATATCTTGAAAAATCATTAATGGAAAATAAAACTGCGTAAAATATACGTGCAAACAGTTCCGCACCTTAAAATATGATAGAAGTAGGCGTTTGACAAATTGTTTTAATAATGCATCATTCCTGTTTGAGCAGTCCTCATTTTTTGTTCTGCACAGTGGCATCAGCAATTGAAAACTCAAGTCAGAAATGAATTCGATCTTATTAGTTACTTTGTCCATTTTGCGATTCATCAGAGGACAGACTAATGTTTTTATTTTGTCAGAGTGTTTTCAGAATGGAATTATACGGGACATTGCTTTTAATGGTGCTAGCCCAGATGAGTGTTTATTTTGGAAATTGAATTATAAAAAGACCATTCCAAACATAATCGCAAACCAGAAATGTGACGAGATATATGCAAATGATACCACATTTATGCAACAAACACGGTAATTCCCCCATTAGAAGAAACTCATGCTATACTTGTTAAGAATAAATAATATACATTTTGAAGTCTGTACATTCAAAGTTATTAAAACAAATTAATATTAGAAATGTTAAAATAATTATTATCTTCAATCCGTTGTTTAGATGTTCAAAAAATTTACCATCACGGGATTGCTTGAGAAGTTTTAAAATGGATGTTATCCTTTTTGAAAAAGAATTTGTTTTACTGGAATTCAACAACAGTCAATGTATTTTGGAAAAGCTGGGGTTTGTTTTGATCCGGTTCGAAAGTAAGAGGAACCTTTGTGTCTTTCCATTATGTATTTCTATTAACCTTCTTTTAGAATTTTTTAATCAAATTTCAGCCATGATCTATTTTGTGCAATCACAAATTGATTTTTTTTTTAATAATACATGATTATGAATTCATTAAATTTATTTTCTATATTGTGCATGTGTTCACAACACATTTTACTTTTTTTAAAATAAATATGTTTATTTAATATAATTAAATGATTCTCGTGTTTCTTCCATATTTAAGCACTATTGAATAATACCTACTAATCTGGCTACCTTCTCAAAATAAATCATTATAATTATTATTATTCATTTTTCTACATTAGGTTTTGCCACAAGCGGATTGGTATGTGACTTATCAGATACCTTTGCCTGTCTCGGTCTATTTTCGGACACGGGATATAATATCGAATGTCCCTTTTCAAGAGACAAATTTGGTAATTCCTTATAACAATGAAAAAAAAAACAAATCTACATTTAGTTTAAATGAAGAGCATGTATATTATTCCCAAAATGCTTAGGATTTAAAATATTGAATTCTAGGAAAGTCTTGAGCTCTCTCTGCCCTTTTTATTCTTATTTGCCAATCTATGTCTAGTAAATACAGCACAATTACTCTCAAATATTGCAACGCTCTTAGACGAAGTGTAATTGTAGTGAGTTTTGCAGAAATAACCCTGCCCGGAATGTGTGTGTGGGTGTGTGTGTGTTCTGTAATTTTCACAATGTGCAATTCATGTAGATTTTTAGAAGTAATATTTAATGAAAATATGATTCTTCTAGCAAAGTGATATTAAAAGATAACCTTATGATTCCAAATAATGCATGTTTTGTTTTTATTAAAGGTTTGAGTCTTCGTGGAACAGACAAAAATCAATTTTGCAAGAATCCTTACTTCACAACCACAGAATTCAAAAGGATGCCTGTTACATCAAATGAAAACAACTGCACAGTGTGTACCTGCCTATCATGTTTGACTAGTATTACATTTTAATTAAATATGAGTGTTGTGTATTTTAAGTGTCATTTCCTGGAAAGCGAAAATTTAAACAACTTGCTTTGTTAATATTTCAGGTGGCATTCAATGTCACTGCACTAGCCAATAGGAGAAAAATAACTGTAATATTGCATATGATAAGCAAAGACAGAAGCAAATCACAAATGGATATACTTAAGAGAGATGGAAGACAACAAACCTTAACATTTTCTTTTCCTTTTCTGGACGACAAATTATTACAGTGCGTATCTTTCTGAAAATTAAATATACAACACATTGTACACATATCCAGAAATATGAATTATAAGAGTGTTTGCTTTTATATATATATATATATATATATATATATATATATATATATATATATATATATATATATATATATATATATATATATATATATATATATATATATATATATATATATATTTCACACCAATTACAGATATTATTTGAGGGCTGTCATATGGCTGGATATAGAATTGTTTGATGAGATACTGTTCGCAGGTGTCTCAATGTCACCAGGCTGCTTCAGGGGTAAATTCATCACAAAATCAAGTTTACTTTTTAAAATATAAATTGAATTAAAATATAGATATAGGGAATCTTTGCTATTTTATAAAGATTTCATACACTCAAATTGACAACTTTTTCAGTCTCATTGACTAAAGAAACTACAACTAATGAGGTCAAGAAAGAATCAACTTCAACAAAATTACAGAGAAATATCACAGAGAAATTCGTTACAGGTGATCTATCAAAGCTGATGAACAAATCAGCGAAAGGTATAAAACAAACTTTTAGTGTCGTGGTTTTTGAATTTGTATATTTTGTATATGTAGTTAAATTTTCATTAATACACATAATAATTTCAAAACTTCGTTTTCTTGATGTTACTTTCCGTTTGCCTGGTCATCTCAAAGAGCACACGGCGGATGTGACTGGTCGACAGGGAAAAACTTACTCCTCCATGGCACTTGATCCTATCTCTAATGTTTTTGAGAAGTCCTTGTTTGCTTTACTCTCGATTTGAATTGTTTCAATGGACTTTTGAGCTGAATAACTGTTCTTTATCTTCATAGTTCTTCACTTTTAAAAGTCTTAAATGTAGAGGGGGCATTCGTCTCGCACTGACACAACTTGTTTTGAGAAATGCAGTTTTGTTTAAATCTGAGTAATTCATGGAATGATGGATCCTAAGGTCGATAAACTGTGATAAATCCAATGGACTTAATTAATGTAAAAATGCAAACTTTTACTCTACTTAGTAAAAATCATACTTGCTACAATAACCCATTGTACTATACATTGTAAGCATTGATCTGAATTTTATTTGATAATCCCTTTGACAATACAGGAGAAAATAAATAAATAATAAAGGAAAATAAGCCAGTAAAAAGCCCACGATTGGGCCAAAAAGTGCAAAAATAAAGAGTTTTCGGTTTATTCGTTTTTTCAGTCTCATTGACTAAAGGAACTACAATTAATGAGGTCAGGAAAGAATCTACTTCAACAGAATTACAGAGAAATATCACAGAGAAACTCGTTACTGGTGATCTATCAAAGCTGATGAACAAATCAGCGAAAGGTATAAAACACACTTTTAGTGTCGTAGTTAAAATTTGTATATTTTGTATATGTAGATAAATTTGCATTAAGACTTTTGAGCTTGAATACTGTTCGTTATCTCCATATATTACATAATAATTTCAAAACTTCGTTTTCTTTATGTTACTCAAAAGTGTTTTTTTAAATATTTAATAGACAAATAGGCTATTAGATATCTTCGCTTTATCAATAAAACCATACAGTGTTCGAGTTCGAGTGTTTGGCATTTTATTATTTTTAAAGTGTCTATAGGTAAGTTAGTAAGAAGATCCTAAAATGTTACATTAAGGTCAGACGACACATTCCTCAATAATATACATTTTTTCCCAAGAATTTGTCATATAAAAACATATAAAAAAACATCATAAACATCTTTATAAACAGTATGTTCATAATTTCTTTTAGGAAATCCAAATGAAGACACCAGTGGCAGAAACTCGAATAAAGTAACCGTTGGTGATATTGTATTGATTATAGTAACTGTTGCATTGGTATCAGCATTAATATTTGGTGTGTATATTTATTATTTAAACCAAATAGTCGGATTTTATCGATATTTTATCAAAAAGAAAAATAATGATAAATTATGTAAAGGTCAAATTTTTTTTCTGAAATTTGCATGAGATTGCTAGTTCATTCTATTTTAGGGACAACTTTCAAGTTTTTAAGATATCATAAAAATAAAACGGTCGAAGTGAAAACAAGTGCTGTTTGTGACGTCATCTCCGGAACGGGGTTCATAGAGGATAATATTTGCAATTCTAACCCAAATTACTCTTGGTACCGATCGTCATGGATCACTGGGCGAATCAATAATTTTCATTTTAAGGATTTAAAAATGTTTGAGTAAGTGAAGTTTTATACCGATGGTCTACATCTACTGGACCATGACTTATTCATAAATGTTGTTAGATAGAACCTGCCAAAGATAAAGTCAGGTTTTTTGATATTGCTCTCACAGACGAGATTTGACATATACTTAATATTATCGTGATGGTAATAATAAAAGTACTTAAATATTATATCTACTTTAATTTGAAGGTTAAAAAACTTAAAATGCTCATTACTTAAAGATATTATTTACGTCTTATTTGTCCTTTTTGTAAAAGGTTATGTAAGAGATCCATATAAATGACTTTAAGTGCAACCTTTATGCAACCTTTACAATTATGCATTTCATTCGAGTAAATATCATTCAATAAAAATCATTTTTATTTTATACAGGGAAATTGGCAATGGACACTTTGGCCTTGTCAGGAGGGGCAAAATACTCTCAACATCAACTCCAGTTGCCCTTAAGGTACACAACTGTTATAGTTTTTAATCAAATGCAACCTTTTTATTCTGCATTCTGATGGTTTTAAAATAAACTGTAATCTTACAGGAATTAAAACCTTGTTCAACAGCAGTCGAGAAAATGGATTTTCTTTTAGAAGCTATAACGTTATGGTAAGAGAACACTTCTTTACAGCAGAACTACACTAAACAAAATTGCAAACGCACCACATTTTTTTTTACTTTTCAAAAATTATTTATGATAAATTTGATATTATATAATAATGTTACTTCATTAAAAAATGAGGCATTCAAATGTCTTAACTGATAGATAACTACAATGTTAACTGAAGCGTAACCATTTCATAGAAATAAGGGAAATCGTACCCATGCTTTTTTGGACGAATAATTTTCTATTTTTTCATTGTGTTTATGTTCTTTATGCTTGTACCAATTAAAAATTCTTTTTTAAAAAAATTAACCGTATGCGGTATGACCCTAAAAGAGTGTGTTTAAGCAGTCAGTATGATGTCTGCATGGGGGGTTCATTTCAAGATATTTCATTCCTCTATAGTGAAAAATTGTTGCAATCAGATTAACAAACATAAAAATGTTTACTGTAAATAGCCACGTCACCAATTAAGCACCATACGACAATTTCAAGATTGTTCCACAAAATTGGGGCAACCGGAAGTTGGGTGGACTGGGTATGGAATTCAAGGCACTGGATGACTACTAGGCGATATGATAGTCAATCGCTGTATATTATTTGATTTTTAACCGAGAGACTGCTTTTGTTGCAGTTTCATGGACCACCATAGTGGTAATCACCAACTTTATATCTGCGCAAAACGGTGCGGGAAATTGGTTTTCGTGCAAGAAGGCTATATATGGGTCTTGTCATGTCACCAAGACATTTGTCTATCACACTGTATTGGAGAAGATGGCATATTAGATACTAGTACCGATGAGGCAAATGTTCAATTCACAAATAAGAGTAACAAGAGGTGCATTAGCGATTTTGTCTAGTGTATAGTTAAAGATAAATTGATACACAGAGCAGCTGATGTATCATTAGATGAAAGGAAAACGATTTCTTTCTCTTTTTGTTACTGTTGGGCAACAACCTCATATTTTATTTCGTCACAAAATAGCAAGCGTTAGTCAACAATCTAAACAGTCAGAAAAAAATTATACCCAAAGCACAAATGGTAAGTAATGAAATTTTAGCTTAGTTTAATAATCAAACATTTCTCACAACTTTTGGGCAACAAATATGGCGCTGATATCAATGAAAAATTAAAGAATACCCGATATTATAAAAAAGAAATATGCGTAAAAATATTTATTTCAAGAACTTTTTTCTGTGCTGGTAGACATTGAGCTGTTTTGTACAGGGTGTTTCATAAAATATGCTACATTTTTAAATCTAATTATTTTTCTTACCTACTGTATTTCTCTTACAAACTATATATCATTTTAAATATCAAATCCTGTATTTTTGTTCCATGTAAAAAAGTCAAGGAAATCATGGTATTACAATGATTAATTTTGACATAAACGATGATATAATTATTTGAATATTTTTCAAAATTGACTAAACATATAAACATATTGTTAAATAGGTGTTTTTTTTTTCAATACATGTCGCCAATATTCATTCAGAAATTGATGAAGGAAGTATTCCATAAGAGTGGAAGCTTTCTAGGATGCTTATCAGAAGGCTAGTAACAAGGACGGACAATATGCGATAAATGACACGGTACTCTAGAAAGCCCAAAGACTTCAGGAACTGAAGATTTAATTGGTGAAGTGGAAACTTAGGTAGTTTAGCGAACTCCTGAAAAATGTGCAGGTGGATGTTTTCAGAAATTGATGCTGACAATTTCAGCATTTCTAGCATATATTAAACTTTGAAATATGGTATGAAGTTATCAGCATACAAATTTTCAATAAAGCAATACCCCAAGGAAATTAGAATTTGACCTCTGCATTCACCAGTCTTAATCTTTTGGCTTTTTTCTGTAAGGGTTCTTTAGAGACAGGGCCTACAATTCTAGAACACAGATACTGAATGAGCTCAAAAAGAACATAAACCTTCAAATGAGGAGTGTCTAGACAAAAATGTGTGACAAGGTCATATAAATTTCAAGAAGCAACTTTCATTTGTAGTTGAAGTGGTGGAGATCATTTAGAACATGTAATGAAGCTTTTGATCTCGTGAAATTCAATGTTATAAAAATTATGTTATTTAGAAATTACGCTAATTTTCATTTTTGATTGAGATTTCATCCAGTGTTTAATATATTTGTAAGTAATTGTGCATAATGAATTTTATGGATACATGCATCAAATTGATTAAAAAAAAAAACAAAAAAAAAAAAACAAAAAACAAAAAACACTTGTCCGTATCTTATTCTTGAGTTTGTCAAATTAAAGATTCAAAATGTAACATATATAATGAAACACCCTGTGTGTGTCTTTAAATTGATGACTTACAGTTATGCCGATTGACCTATTTTTATAAAGTTATTGCCCTTATACTTAAAACTGAATTTCAGTTTTCCAGATTTTTTTTCTTTACCTGTGCTTGAAGTTATTGAGGTTTTTTTGGTACTTCTCTTTATGTTTGTCTTAGTTTAGTGATCAAGTCTTCTAACAATCTGTTGGAATTCCCATTGGTGCTACTGTTATTAGCAGACCTATTTTTGTATTCGATCACATGTAGCTGAGTTTACTCAGAAACTTCTACATGAAAAGAAGTCTCTTGCTGCTGCTTTCAATTGGACTATTAGATATATCGACTATTCCTACGTTGATTCAAGTCGCCCGCGTGGCGCAGTGGTTAGAGCGTTTGCTCTAGAGTCGCGATGTAAGGAGTAGATCCTTACGTCGCGAGTTCGAATTCACTGCGGGATGTAGAGACCGGTCCTTCGGATGAAACAGTATAAACCAAGGTCCCGTGTCGCTGTAGGTGCTGGCACGAAAGAGATTCCTCACTTCTCAATAACCCTGAGTGCCGAGTTTAAATTTGCAGCCCTCCATCGGCAAGTGGTGGCGTCTCTATATGAGTGAAAAATTCTTCGAGAGGGACGTTAAACAACACGCAAACAAACCTAATTTAATATATCACTTAGAACTCAAAATAAAAACACCATAGAGTCTGACACATTTCATATTTGGATATTTTACTAGAAACAGGCATTCATGGCAAACTAACAACAAAACTTTTGGATCAAACGTGATGACTTTAACTTTTCTAACAACTTCCCTTATATATATATATATATATATATATATATATATATACATATATATATATATATATATATATATATATATATATATATATATATATATATATATATATATATATATATATATATATTGCATATGCAGTTTAAGTCTCCAAGTTGATTCGATACGCAAGAACATGTTCTACGGTACGAACCATTTCTAAAAAGAGGTAAACTATTGATAAATAAGCTGAAGTTACAAGGAAATCAACAGTCCTGTTTTAAGTCAACATTTCGCAAATTCTATAGTCGATACAATGACCTTGTTAGCAAATGAAATCTATCGTTAAATCGAATGTTGACTTTTTTCATACAAATTATTAGGCCATTGTTTTCACGCTGAATTGACTACGGATTTTTTCCGTTTGCCTGATCATCTCAAAGAGCTTACGGCGGATGTACCTGGTCGACAGGGGAAAACTTACTCCTCCATGGCACCTGATCCCATCACTGATGTTTTTTAGAGGTCCATGTTTGCTCTACTCTCGATTTGTTTTGTTTCAATGGACTTTTGAGCTTAATAACTGTTCTTTATCTTCATAGTCCTTCACTTAAGTCTTAAATGTAGACGGGGCATTCGTGCCACACTGACACATCTTGTTTTGGGAAATGAATTTTTACATCTGAATATTACAATCTGAATAATTCATGGAATGATGGATCCGAAGGTCGATAAACTGTGATAAAAACCAATGGACTTAATGTAAACTTTTACAACTAATAATCCCTTTTATACTCTACCTAGTAAAAATCATACTTGCTACAATAACCCATTGTACTATTCATTGCAAGCATCGATCTGAATTTCATTAATTTAATATTCCTTTTGACAATACAGGAGAAAATAAATAAATAAATAGGGAGTATAAGCCAAAAAAAGCCCACGATTGGGCCAAACTGTAAAATCTCTGTAAAAACCGGTATAAACCAAGGTCCCGTGTCGCAGTAGGTGCTGGCACGAAAAAGATCCCTCACTACTCAATGGCCCTGAGTGCCGAGCATAGGTCAAATTTTGCAGCTCTCCACCGGCAAGTAGTGGCTTCTCCATATGAGTGAAATATTCTCGAGAGGACTTTAAACAAACAAACAAGAAAACTAGGCCAAAATCTCGTCCGAATTTTAAGAAATTATCAATAAATAGCATGCATTCACACCAACGTACACAAAATTGACCATCTCCATGCATTATGATTTTTTTTCAATATGACTGGTTCTACATACCTTTTAATTGAAAGTATGTCTTTCAAATATGTCTGAAATATAGATTATTAGGCTAGTAAAACATGGAGTAAGTACCACTAACCATTACAAGAACTTTTTATGACCAAAGATTCGTATATTTTCTAATATTCTGCAGTCTTAAGTGACTCACTGGTTAAAGTATCTTTGTTATTGACAAATTAAAGATCGGGTATTCTAGTTATTTGGATCTAATCCCCCATAAAAACACAATAAAATGCATTTTTATTCAATTTTTACCATGGAACACTTATGCCGAAAGAATTTTCTATAAAAAGAATTCCATACATTATCAATAATGAAAAACTTTGCCTAATAAAAAAAAAAGTGAATGTGACTCATATATATTGAACCTATAGACATTTTCTAAGCCTTATCTCTTCATATTCTTTGTGAATATAAAAAAAAACCCATTAACACTGCACATGATAATAATTTTGTTTCCAGGTACTTCAAAATAAATGCATGTAACCACAAATAAATTGTAGAGAACATTAACATTTTTGATACTATATAAAGAGCGATTATAGCATGAATAGTTACCATAAACAGGTACTGTAGAATATTGACATTTACACAACTGCTCAGTTCTTGATTTTAACGATTAATGTATTTTGATACTATTCTTGTCATCAAAATTGCTATTTAATTTTTCATGCCTGGTGAGGACTAAAATATCCTTTTGATTAGTGAATTAAAAATTAATATCCGTTTGACTCAAACATTAAAATCATCTCGTTATTTTTCAATTTTTTGTTTACTTTTTTAGACTTGAAATTACATTTTCCAGACATAGAAACGTTTTTGAAGAATTTAAAAGGTTTTTTTAATTGCAGTAAACTAAAACACTCGAACATCGTACGATGTTTTGGTATATCAACAAGCCAACAACATATCTGTATTCTACTTGAGCTAATGGATGGTGATTTAAAGAATTATCTTCGTAAAAACAGAGATCTCGGTGTAAGTTGTAATTTAAACGTGTAATGATTTATATAGAAAAATAAAAAAAAAATCATAAAAAACATACATAGCATTTCTTTCTAGGTGAGTATGGCTACCGTATTTTCGCTAACACATTCCTTGAAACTCGCAATTGATGTATGTCGAGCCTGTGTATATCTGGAGGCTATCAAATTTATTCACAGGTAACAGGTGCGACTCAAATATTTACAGTTGTGTGCTATAATATATGATGACATTTTCATACTTACTCCTTTGTATTTAAGGGACATTGCTGCAAGGAACTGCTTAATTTTAAACAAAGAAGGTCAGGTGGTGGTTAAGATAGCCGATTTTGGGATGGCAAGGGATGTCACAATGTACGTAATTTTTCATTCAAGGACATTGATTATCGATAGAAGACAAACAGGGACTTTGTTTAATTAAATGAATATCTATTTTTCACAAGGCATAATTATTATTGAAGGGGTTTAGCAATAGTATGGTTGCCTATTTAAATCACATATATTTCCTGTCAAATTTTAAGGGAACCTTAATCTTTTAAGCTCACAAAATAAAATGGCCTGTTTTCCCTCTCTCGACTAAAAATGTCCAGACAAATATCTGTTTTTAACCTCCATGAAAAGATTTTTAAAATTCATTTTGGAATTTTCTCAATCCCATCAGCAATTTTTTTTCCAAATTATCAATACATTCAATTTCAATAAATTTTGAAAATTTAGCATTGATGTTAAAAAAAAATTGTGAAAACAATTCTTTACACTAACTACCTACCCATTTTTTTTATCCTTAGTCGAGAGAGGGCAAGCAAACATTATCTTAAAATGGTCTGATATACTTTGTTTTTAGCTCACCTGAGCTGAAAGCTTAAGTGAGCTTTTATGATAACCCGTTGTCCGTCGTCCGTCCGTCTGTAAACTTTTCACATTTTCAACTTCTTAAGAACCACTGGGCCAATTTTAACCAAAGTTATTACAAAGCATTCATGGGTAAGGGGATTTAAATTATTAAAATGAAGGACCTAGCCCCCTTACAAGGGGAGATAATCAAGAAAAAGACAAAAATAGGGTTCAACAATCATGTTATTTGATGTAATCGAGGATAACTACTGTTGAAAATATAGCGAAATCTCGCTATAATAGTGATATACCGCTATTATAGTGGAATGTACCCCCCCCCCTCCCCACCTGTTTACGTAATTGGGTGATTATAATTAACTGAAGTAAATGTTATGGATTAAGCAAATAATAATAAATTCCTTTTACATTGTAGAAATCAGAAGAGGTATATAGGTGTATAACTACTGGCAAAACGTCATGTTTTATTTGAAGGGATTATAAAATTTGTTTTAAATTTTTATCTCATGTAACAATTTTAATAATTGCTTACAATGCATTAAGATTTTAAATCATTAATCTCAAAAATTTTCCTCGCTTTTTTTTTTCCTTAGGACGCAATATTATGTTAAGGAGGGGACTTGCAAAGTTCCAGTGCGTTGGATGTCGCCAGAGTCAATGCTGAATGGACGTTTTAGTTCAAAAACAGATATATGGTAAGGCTATTTCGAAAACAAAAATGCAATTAATTAAATATTTTTTATCTGAGTCTCAGATAGATATATTATTTTTATACTTAATCACATTTGATTACAAGTGTATTTCGTATTTGTTTTAGATGAGCTAATGAGAGTTTAACTAAGCATGTCTACCATTAATCGTTGTTTCCCAGTTATAAACTGCTTACATTTCAGGTTATCTAGTCATAAAATTACATTTATAATGATGTTTTCGTCGTTCCACATATAATAACAATTTTAAAAATACAGCTGAGTTAAACCGAGTCTAACTCGGGCTATGACTCGAGGTAATATAGACAAACCAATAAACCCCTACTTATGTTATTGTGATTTAAATTCGAGGCACGTGGTGTAGGTTGACCCATTCAAAGGTTATAGGGTAGAACCGCTTTTATAAATAAAATTGGCAGTAATCGGGAAATTGCTATAATCTGTTTCTTTTAAAAACATGTCCTATAAAAACGTGTTTCCAGATCTTTCTGAAAGATTTTCAAGATTTTAAACAGAAATGGGTGGGATTTAAAAAATCATAATCTACTTAATTAATCCTCGCTTTTGTGATAATTTACGGCGAAAATTGGAGCTTAGTAGTGTTAATTTTTCCAAAATCGCCCGATACGCTGGTAGAAAAAAACGTATATGACAAATCTTTTTTTTTACCTTATATGGCTTTTGTTATTAATGCGCACAGGATCTTACCACCAACAATTGACCAATCATTGAATGAATAGCAACGTTAACATGTCAACTATACGTTTACATTTTACTTCTACATTTTACAATCTACGATCGATATTAAATTGATTAAAAAAAACAATTTTAAAAAAACTGTTTCCATAAAAAAAAATAAAGAGTAGAAACTATAAAAGATGCCACGGGCGTTTGGAATTTGCTGTTACGTTGTTAACTAGAAAATGTATATAAAAAATGTAGTCTGTTCAACGTTCAGGAAACTAGCGCTTCAAGGTTAAGGAAAACGAATAGCATCCCTTAGGGATGGACAACAAAGTTTTTTCATATTACAATACCCGTGATCATCTGCACTTTTTGGTCAGGGAACCCATCTGACAATTGTATTCACCGATAGTACAACAAAGGAATGCAGACGAAAATCGCCTTACAGTATGACTTTGAGAAACCTAGAATTCCACGTTTATGTAACATGTTACAAATGAATTGTTTGTAATTGTGGGCATGGAAATAATAGAATAAAAATGGACAGTATGGAAATGCATTCAAATGCATGGAAAAAATGTTCTTTGTGCCTTTCCGATCGCCTTGGTTTTTTTTTTTTCCAAGCGTAAAATTCCTGTAGTATCCGTAGTAACCCACAATGCAATTCAACTCATTCAGATTAAGCTATATTGGTACCCCATTTGCTACATGTAATCTAACGCCAAAAAGTATAGTCCCAGTTCCCATGCAAGTATGTTTGTCCAAAAAGAAATTTTGATACATAAGTGCAGAAAATAATGTAATGAGGAATACTTATTGACGTTTGAATGAATTCAAGAGAGATTGAAATACATTTCTACAGATAGTATTCAGTTGTAAAAAATGAAACGCAAGATAACTTTTCTGTTTACCATGTCTCCACGTGCTAGTCCCTTCCTAGCCACATTTCCGTGAATAATTTACCTTATCTCGTTGTAGTCTCGCTAGATCTCGCCAGAGCTACTGTGAGAACTACTGGGAACTCCTGGGGTTTATAATTTGCAGAACACCGAAAAATAAAATGTTCCGAACACATTAGTAGGGGTGAATAGTCATGGACAGGAAAGTAATGAAATTTTTATTAACAACTGTAGAAACTTTTAAAATTCCATTTCTGGCAAATAGTTTACTCTGGACTTTAATGTCTAAGTGTGCGTCTGATAAATGGACAGTTTGGCAAATACATTTGGATGAAAATATGAAATATTTATTTGGCCAGTATGTTCACAACTCTGAAATATATGAGTGTATAGGACAAAAGGGTGGATTGTGAAGAATGTCAAAAGTTGCATCATGGTTATCGCATAAATGCCCATCGTCGGAAACCCACGGCTGATTTCTCTTGAGAGGAACGTATAGATGTTGCGCACGGTGTTGGTACACATTGACGTCACGTCAAAATAACGTTATTGAAGTCATAACGTTGTTAGAACGTTTTAAACGTTATAATTGCATATTTTACCTGTTTAATGTGAATTATATATATATATATATATATATATATATATATATATATATATATATATATATATATATATATATATATATATATATATATATACATACATATATATCTTTTTTCCGAAAGGGGGTGGGGGGTCACACCAATTAAAAAAAAATATCTAATGATTCTCAAAGTTTTTGAAAAGCAACAAAAAAAAAAAAAATTATAATTGAAATCCCGGGGTGGGGGGGGGTGGGGGTGGGGAGGGGGTCCGGGCCCCCTTCCCGACCTCCCCCGCCTGTCTTTTTTTTATTGAAAGCTTTTGATTTCTGTCATTTTGTTTCTATATTTTTCTAAAACATGTTAAAATTTGGTAATGTACTTAGCATTTACAACCTTGATTTTGCAGAGGAATATATTTTTCTATGATAGAGGAAATGTGTCTTTCTACGAGAAAAATGGAATTATGAAATCAAAACATAAGAATGATGTAATTCTTATGACAACCGGTGTACAAAGTACGATTTCCCCGTACCAGCCCCCCCCCCCCCCCGGAATCTATACTCTGGAGTGGGACTTTCCTCGAGGGGAAATCTTACACTAGAGCCTCTTTTCTCCCTCTTTCTTCCTCAGAGTAGGTTTTCCCCTGTTTTATCAATGCTAAAATCATATCGACATTGCTAAAGTTTATATGAAAGTGAACTGATTTTTTAAAGGAAATATTTATTTAGTGTTTTCGCTCAAGACTTGTTCAAATATAGTATGAAATCTTAGTAGTTAAAAAAAAAATACAAAACAAGAAGCATTGCTCTAGCTAGCCGTAGGATAGATATGACCCCTCGACCACAGAGGTGTAATACTGGACAGCTATTTTAAACCCCAGAAACTTGAAAAGACAATCAATATTATGTTCATGTAGTTTGATGAAATATAAGTTGAGAAAAAAAAATTAAAAATAAAATTCCTCGGTTTTTTTTTTTAAATTAAATGTTGACACAAGACTTTTATTACAATTTTTGTGAAGTTTCTTTAAGATTGTCTACTGTGATGGCACCTGTGGAAAAATTATAGAAGGGACATTTGTAACCATGTGTCGCCCCCTCCCCCTCATATATAAGTACTGGCATGATATTTTATAGGAGAAGGGGTAAATTGGCTCTTCAGGGAATCGCACTTTATAACTATTACACATAGTAGGGATTTCTCCGGAAAATTGAATCTGGTGTGGGATTTCTGTTGGGGAAATCCTACTCAAGAGCCAGTTTTACGAGATTTTAGAGGGAAAGACCAGTATCAAATTCTTGTTTTAATTTTGGGCTTTTGTATTTATATGTTTTGAGAATCGATACATTTGTTCTTGAATTATAGGAGGTCGCTAAGCTGAAAAAAAATTAAATGGCCTTATATTGAATTTAAGTTTTTTTTGTTTTCCCCCTAGCCCCAGTAGTTAAGCTCTCTTTATAAATTGGGGGTGGGGTGGGGGGTTATTGACATGCAAAAAAAAAGGTGTGATGGGGACGTTTCGCTTTTAAAAACCCTACCAAATTAAAAAAAAAACCTGGCTTATCACCAAATTCAGAAATCCTATTACGTACTGTTTTGGGAGGGGGTGTTCTCATTCTCATTTTCAGCTAAAAATTGAGAACTATAACGTGATATGTTTAGATATTGCTGCAGCAAAATAAAAAAGGGGGGGTTATCGACCTTTGAATGAAAATTTTCAGAAAATTTAAAACAAAAGTAATCGGAGAAGGACCTCCTCCCTACTTGGTACTCCTGACCTGCAGAAAATTGGAAAAAAAAGATCGGCGATAATAATTTGACGCTCCCGACGTCATACGTATATACATAGTGTGTAAAATGACGTTTTTCGTACCTGGACAAAATGGCTACATTTTTCTTAATGCTTGCATTTATTTCATGTAGACGATTGCGGTAAAAATTATGTTATTATCTAATACAGTATGAAATATTCTTTCAAGATACAGTAATGATTGGTATATATATGACATTAATTTATGTATTTTTGATATGTAACTAAGACATATTAAGTAATAGTACAGCGGCTCGAATGTGCATAACAAAATGGCTACACTTAACAAAGCCTTACTAATATTTACGTATTAGCAGTAATATGACATGTATTTACATAACTAATTTTAGAAACAAATGTACTTAAGGATTACTCATCAAAATTTATCTTTGTTTGGCATTTATGTCTAGCACACATCGCCATGTGGGCTGATGTCAGCGTTAGGAAACGATTTTTTTTTCTGTTGGACATTTTACTTACGCACTGTAGATTCAGCCCAAACTCATGAAATTGAGAAAATGATGTTAAAAATTCAATAATATCACAAAGAATGCATACATATTATTGTATTTCCTAAATTTCATTTAATTTAGAAGACTGGAAGTGGATCTTTTTATATCTTGTAGTTGCGCGAACAATAATTTATATAACGTTGGACACGGGAATTTCGCCTTAATAACCAATAATGAATAAAGCCATATCATAATTAAAATATTTTTAGATTATTAAAAAGAGAATTTTTAGAATAATTTATTACCTTGGATAAAATAATTAATTTCATTTTTAATTTCTAGTAACTTTAACACCTTGAAAACGCCAGTTTCTTTACGACATCTAAAGAGTCAGATTTTATAGTATCAACAACGTGCGCAACGTCATAGCGTAATCAGCCGTGGGTTTTCGACGATGATAAATGGCAAAACAATACTCTGTGTATAGTTTTGTATATTACCAATTTCAACAAAATTATACGACATACTTTGTAAGAGAATAATCCATTTTATTGAAGAAAAAGAAAATATGACACTTTTTAATCTGAATTGATAAAAAGAGCATGGAGTATTCAAAATTAGTTTTCCCCTAAATTTAATAGTCAAAATTGAAAGAAAAAAAAACAACTAATACAATAGTTTTCTGTCTAGATGAAAGTGTGTTTGTATCTTAAGTGTCGTCGTGTGCAAACATCGAACAGAAATTGTGTTTTCAATGAATATCTACCAGTATAGGAATAATCTCTTTTTCAAAAAAAAAAAAAAAAAAAGAATCTCGTTACGGTTAACAAGGATCTTTTTGTGAAGTATGCTACAATATATGTACACTAGGTTTCTATTTATCCTGGAGGTGAAAATATTCTGAGATCGTTCTCATGTGATGTACAATCAAGTCTGTCCAAATCAAGGTTCAAAACCTCAGTACTTCAAAAGTAGTGTATTATGCGAAACACAAGATGCATTAGTTTTGTTGTATCATATTTTTATCAAGCAGCATATGTCAAGAATATAAGTAATTTATTTCTTAATAAAAACAAAGGGAAGCAATGTACGTTTCATTTGCTAAAATAAACCCCTAAGTAACAGATTTCTGCTTAACACATTTTAGGGCTTTCGGGGTGCTTATGTGGGAGATTTACACCGGAGCTCGGTTGCCTTACGGTGACTTTACGATAGACGCTGTCATGAGTCACATTATTCAGGGAGGAAAACTGGATAAACCTGCGAAATGTTCAGATGATGTGTAAGATGTTCCAAATACATGAACATTAAACAAGTTATGAACAAAACTTCGAATTCTTTATATTAATAGAACAACTATCTAAAATATTCCATGAAGTAGTAATTATTTTTTTTACAAATCGGTGGAGACTTGAGAAATGTTAAAATCATTGGATTTCATAAGTATATTCCGAAATTCATAATTTTACAGATGGCAGATCATGCAGATGTGTTGGTTGGACTGTGCGGATGAGAGACCTTCGTTCAGAGACCTAGAGAAGTCACTACAAACGTACGATGTATTCTAGTTTATTTAAATATTAGTAAGAGGCCAACAAGCCCTGAAGGTCAACATGGGTTTTTCAGGCTATGACCATTTTAGCACTACATTGGAACTTTAGCCTCGTGTTTTTTAGTTTAGTGAGGACTCTGATAATCATTATCACGTTCATGCAGCTTGTCTGCTAGAACTTCAAGTAAAGTAGATGAGATACTATATACATGTATATACAATATGCTCTTATGACCAACTTAACCCAACCATGACCCTTATCACTGGACATAGAGGACAAGAATCAAAATATGACCAAATAAGTCCCACCCTGTGGTTTGAAACATGGGTACAGTACAAGATGCCATCAATTGTACTGTTTTAGTAGAGGGCTAAGTTCTTATTATAATCATGCAAACAATTTGTATGCTAGATGTCCAAGAGCAGAGTAGATAAATTTTTAAATTATAGTGACTTGTATTTCCAATTTATAAACAACTTAGCCCCACCCTGGGGCCTGAACACTGGACCCAAAGAACTTGAATTTTACAATGCGAATAGAGGGCTATAGGTTTTCGTTGTAATCGTTATTATGTTGCCACTTTATCTCCTGCATAAAAGAAGATTTTCAATGATGTATTTTCAATTATATATGCCTGACTTTGTAGTCTCACTCTGGGGTCTTAATCATTGGCCGGGTGGGGAGGGGGCAATTTTGGTAGTTTGCTAAGTGTTGATTATTTATTATAAACATTGAAACAGTTACCAGCTCAATGCCCACGAGAAAAGAAGACGTTTCAAAAATGTAATGCATCTTTAAAATGACCAATGAAACTAAACCCTAATTCCTGAACCCATGTATCCAGGAAACATGAATTTTTACAATTTGGTGAAAGGTTGAGTTTTCTTTATTCATGCAAAAAGTTTACCTGCTGGTTCCATGAGTAAAATTCAGAGATTTAAAGATCTAATTTATTAATGAAATTATAATATGTGACAAACTGGAGCTTGAATCCAAACCCAGGGCGATGATTCTCACAAATTTAGTAAAAGATCCTTCGCTTATTTAAACCATGCCAATACTTTGTCTGATACATGGAACATTGCAATAATTCTGGCCCCAAGACCATAAACTGAGAACAGACTTAAGTCAAAAATTCAAATCAACACAACTTTTGAAATAATTTTGATAACGAAACAAAATTTTCATCATATGTTTAAATTGGAATATTATAAAAACCTGCAAAGTTTTAAGTATGTATGTTATATAAATCACAAGTCTGTTCTCAGTTTGTGGTCTCGAAGCCTGATGGGTTTAGACAGAGTCCATGAAATTCACAATTTTTGTTCCCCTTACCAAAATTTCAAAACCAATATGAAGAATAACGTCTTTCTCTCTCTCTCTGCGATTTGGTTTAAACATAGTCTGTTTCACTTTATGCTCCAGTTATTTGTGAGAGGGGTTTATTTTGAATAAGTTCACACGAAATTCATATTGTATTGTTACAGGTGTCTAAATACTGGCGATGAACAGGAAAGTGAAGGGAATACTGAAGACACCATCTTATTGTGAAAATGACGTGGAAACTCTCTCTCTCTCTCTCTCTCTCTTTCTTATGAATGTACATGTAATAATTTTTGAAAAATTGTTTCAATTTTTATTATATAACATATATGATGTTGTTGATAATGAGAAAAATCACAACCTTTTATAATCTACAATATAAGATTGTTTTTAATCTAAGCTTGAAGAATTTCGAGTTGGAAACTTTCAAAGAGCCAGAATGTCTATTGAATTGGTTGAGTGAGAAATTTGGTATCAGTTATTGCAGAATCAAAAACCTTAAATTTTCATACACTCTTAATCATATGTCAAAATATATAACATGGTTTATTTTAGAGAATATACATTAAACATGTTACATTTACATGTATGTTGTCAAATCGAAGTACATGTACCTAAATCAACACGATCTAAGAATAGTTTACACAGAAGATATTTAATTATTATACCGGGTTGAAACGTTCAGCGTTATTTGTTTAGCGTTATTTATACCAAAAAAGGAGATAATAATTGGTTATGAGCAATAAACAGGCAATAAACAGTTAGCAAATTTACAAATGACAAACAATATGTAATAAGCGATTAACAAATGACATGCCATTTGGAATTTACGTAAGGTTGTACTGCATTGAGTGCAAGAAACGACTTCATTGCTTTGGTCTATACATGTAATTTAAAAGTATTTGGCCAATTCAATTTTGTGTTCATTTTCCTTCCGTGGGTAGTTAATGTTTGTCATAATAATATCATAGAAGCAAATATAGAAAACAGTTTGAATGTCATTTTAGGTCAGTCGATGTTTGCTTGTATAATTATGCTTTTACATTTTCTTTTATTCTACGGTTACTCAGAGAGTCCTGTCATGACGCCAAATTCCCCTTTCCCCTCCTACCAAAATATGAAAAAAATTAGATGAAATAAAATTTTTTTTAAGGAAACCAAGAATAATAATTTTACCGAAGGAGTTATACATAAAGAGTTGAGACAAAAGAACAACAGAACAGAACAAAAGGACATGAGTAAATTAGCAGATGAAAATACTCAAAGTTGAAAAAATAAGAAAAAAAACCACTCAATTATATATATATATATATATATATATATATATATATATATATATATATATATATATATATATATATATATATATATATATATATATTATAATAATAATAATAAATATATGTATAATAACACCTACTTTCAATAAAGTGTATAAAAAAAAAATAAGAAAATTTATTTATTATTCTTTCTTTAATTTATAATTATTTCAAAATCATCAAATAACATCTTTAAATGAGCATGTACCTCCTTAACGAAATAAATGGCTGTAATCTTGTTTTATTTCTTGTGACTAAAATATATTTCATGTTGACGTCCACATCTTGTATTTGAAATCACAAAAGTTTACCAAAATCAATAACATCAAAACGTACTACTTTTCAACACTTTATACGAGGGTCGTTCAATAAGTAATGCAAAATGCGATTTAAAATAAGAAGCATTTTTCAAATATATACCTCTAATCCTTTAAAGAATTCCCATTTTTACACATCTAAAGTCTATGTACCCATGATGAGAACATCTCAGCATGCTCCTTTTTAGAGATGCTAAAAACACAGACAAATAGCTAAAAAAACAGACAAATAGCACTCTCCATGACACACTCAAAATTGTAACGTCTTCCATTAAGCGTTCTTTTTCAGTTTTTATGGAATAACAAGATGTGTTTGTGAAACACTGATGCCCCTGTAGGGCAGTTTATGACGAAGGTTAAAGTTTCTCAAATGCAAGTCAAAATCCAGACCATATGTGAAGAATGAAAGCACTAGCACCAACCATTCAAAAGTTATGGCCAAGGTTAAAGTTTTTCGAGAGTAGGTCAAACTCCTATGTCAAGGTCAAAGGGTCAAAGTGGTTGATATCCAAAGGAAGATCTTGTCACAAGGAATACACAGGTGAAGTTTAAAACCCCAAGCACCAACTGTTCAGAAGTTATGGCCAAGGTTAAAGTCTCTTAAAATTTTACAACGTGAAAGGCTTGTCTTTCCAGAAATTAAAACCACTACTTTAATATTGGTTCTTCAGCGATTTTGGAAATGAAGCGTAGTTTAAAAATAATTGTTTGGTAAAAAAAAAAAAATAGAAAAAAGTACAAGGTTAGTTTTCTTCTGGTAGATGACTCTCCTTATCATTTTTAAGGGTCTGTGTTTTCTGAGTTGCAGGAAAGGGGGAGGGGAAGGTCATTTTTTTCGTTTCATTTACATAGCAATTTAAAAACTCCGAAATTTCCGGGGGTGGAGGCCCTCAGCTGCTTGCGGAGATGATTGAATCTGCTTAATACCCGAAATGAAAGTATAAAACATTTGCAAAACAAAAACAAATTGGATAGAATATCATCTCTTATTTTTTTCCACCAAAAGTTACCTGGTAATGATTATTCATATCAATATAGAAACACTCTTAGGTAGGCAGATTTTTGATCAAATCATGGTCCAGGAAGGTAGGATGGGCAACAAGATGGAGTCATATTTTTTTTTATGATTATAAGAGTTTTAATGATTCTTTATTATAAATTTTGATCCCCAATTGTGCCCCCTCCACTCACATCACTAATCCGGGGGCCATGATTTCAACCCATTTCTGTCAGCACTACCTGAAGATACTTGAATTGTAATTAGACTAATTAGTCCTGCTATTCTTGAGAAGGTTTTTAAATAATTTTCCCCATATATTTCATGAGGAACTTTGACCCCTATGTGGCTCCACCCTATCCAGGTGGGCCAAGATTTGAACAACTTGAATTTACACTATCTTAGGATGTTTGTATATTAACGTAACAAATTAAGACGAAGATTTTTAAATGTTTTTTTCCCTATACTTGTATAACCCCTTCACTTTGATCCACTATTGTTACTCCAACCTAGCCTTGGGGCCTCAAGTCAATTTGAACCTAACTTTACACTTTCTAAGGAACTTGCATATTAATACATATATGACTAACCATGGCTCTGCCGTTCTTGAAAAGAATTTTTGCCTAGCACGATCTAAGAATAGTTTGCACAGTATTTAATTGTTATCACGGGTTGAAACGTTCAGCGTTATTTTTCAGCATTATTTATACCAAAAAAATGGTTTAAAATTAAGGAATAACTGTCTAGTTTTTTGGTTTTATGATGTAATCAATCAATTTGCTCGCGTGATAATTTGCATAAACGCCTTCGGCGTTTATGTGTAAAATTATCACGCAAGCAAATTGATTGATCATCATCACAAACCCAGAAAAACAGACAGTTATTCCTTATATTTACATTTTTATCTGATCCCTGATTCAATTTAAAAAATTCAATAATAAGAAATCTAAGCATCCCCAGCATGTGAATTACTAAGCAACACGCAGGGAAAAAGCATGCAATTCTGTCACGTGCTGAGCAAATCGATTTGTGGGGTTATAAAGTCATTACCTTAGTTGTAGTTTTATCTCAGAGAAAGACATTGGAAAACGTAAATATTAATTGTCTATGAGCAATTAACAGTTAGAAAATATACAAATTACAAAAAATAAGTAATTAGCTTCTAACAAATGGCATGTCGTTTATGATTTACTAAAGGTCGTATTGCAGTGAGCGCAAAAAAACTACTTCATTGATTTGGTCTGTACATGTAATTCTAAAAGTAGTTGGCCAATTCAATTGCGTGTACATTTTCTTTCCGTGGGTAGTTAATGTTTGTCATAATAATATCACTGTTCAAAGCAAATATAGAAAACAGTTTGAACAAGCATTTTGAGAGTATTGCATTAGCAATACTAGTCCCCTACCGGCAAGTGTAATTTGGTTCCTGCTAATATTTGAAAATGCCATAATTCCGTCAAAAATCAATGAAGCGGAATGAAATCCAAACTTGATCCATAATTCATCAAGGTAAAGTCACATACCAAAAATCAGCTCAATATCTGCAAGCGTTTAGAAAAAAATTGCGGAAAACCCTGGAAAATTGAAAAGGTTGTAATTCCGCCAAATCTCATTGAAGCGGAACGAAATGCAAACTTGATCTGTAACTCATCAAGATAAACGCACATACCAAAAATCAGCTCAATATCTGCAAGAGTTTAGAAAAAAAAGTGCGGAAAACCAAGTGGGACAGACTGACAGACAGACAGAGGGACAGACAGACAGACAGAGGGACAGACAGACAGACAGACGGACGGACAGACTCAGAGGAAACCTATAGTCCCCTCCGGTTTTACCGGTAGGGGACCAATAACAGTTTGTTATTTTAGGTCAGTCAATGTTTGCTTGTATAATTATGTTTTTACATTTTTTTCTAATTCTACGGTCACTCACAGAGTCATGTTATATATGACACCCAATACCCCCTACCTTCCCCTCTTACCAGATAAACAAGCATTCTGAGAGTATTGCATTAGCAATACTAGTCCCCTACCGGCAAGTGTAATTTGGTTCCCGTTAAAAATTCATATACGCAGCACTGTTAAGGCGTACTTCAAAAAAATCAACAGAATGTAAACGTGCATGAATACATACCTTTTTAAACTGAATTTATTTTTGTAAAGGTACTATATTATCTTATGACTTTAACATTCTTTGAAATAACATTGTATACCCCGCTCTGTACTGAATTTGGTTTGGTCACGTTATTTGATAGTCACGTGATAAATGCGTGTAATGTGTACTGTATGTAGGTCACAAACAAATTTCAATATCGCAAGGGCATACCCTAGTTAAAATTAAAAATTAAAGTAATGGATTGTTTCTACATAACTTGTAGTTAATGAAAAGTGCTGCTGCTTTAAATAGAATTCGCATTTTATTAGTTAAAATTTCAAGTTATCTGACTAATGTCGAAATATGTGTGACCTTTACCAAGTATTTTATGTATTTATTAAATTATGCTATCGATTTCAGGAAAGCAGCAGCAATTTTCAAGTTAAGGAATAAGTCCGTTATGTGTATTCAAAAAATGGTCAAGATCTATTAAGTGTATGCCCTCGCGAAAAGGCGATTTAATGAGGCACCTCGGCGTGAAACATGCACACCCTGTAGACAAAAACACGGTAGAATTAATTCAATACATTCTCTCGATATTTTTTATATAATGGCACTAAACAAACGTTTCAGATTTGTATTAATGGTCTACCTAAGATTTGCAAATAATATTCTGTTTAATAATAAAATGCATTTTTCACTGTGAAAAAATTACTTGATCCGCCTCTCACTGCACATAAAATGCGTCAAACTTTACCATGATGACGTCATGTCGACAAGTGCATTGCGATCAGTGACTTGTTTATATCTTGCTGTGTGGGATTTATCTAGCGACAAAAATGAATGCAGTGGTAAGTTTTGATGTAGTTCATTACTCTTATGCAGTTTAGATTCGCAAATTATTTCATTTTCTGTTATTGTGAGGAATTGCTATATTTGTGTGATGTCACAGTAAACTTTTCCCGTATAAATTAGGCCCCGCCCCCTTTATGCAGCCTTAACAGAGCTGCGTAATAGAAAATGCCATAATTCCGTCAAAAATCAATGAAGCGGAACGAGATGCGAACGTGATCAATTACTCATCAGGGTAAAGTCACATACCAAAAATCAGCTTATGTATCAATATCTGCAAGCGTTTAGAAAAAAAAATCGCGGAAAACCCTTAAAAAATGAAATGGTCGTAATTCCGTCAAAAATCATTGAAGCGGAACGAAATGCAAACTTGATCTGTAACTCATCAAGATACACTCACATACCAAAAATCAGCTCAATTTCTGCAAGCGTTTAGAAAAAAAGTGCGGAAAACCAAGTGGGACAGACTGACAGACAGACAGAGGGACAGACAGACAGACAGACGGACGGACAGACTCAGAAAAACCTAACATGTCAACTATACGTTTACATTTTACTTCTACATTTTACAATCTACGATCGATATTAAATTGATTAAAAAAACAATTTTAAAAAAACTGTTTCTATAAAAAAAAAAAAGAGTAGAAACTATAAAAGATGCCACGGGCGTTTGTAATTTGCTGTTACGTTGTTAACTAGAAAATGCATATAAAAAATGTAGTCTGTTCAACGTTCAGAAAACTAGCGCTTCAAGGTTAAGGAAAATGAATAGCATCCCTTAGGCGTGGACAACAAAGTATTACAATACCCGTAATCATCTGCACTTTTTGGTCAGGGAACCCATCTGACAATTGTATTCACCGGTAGTACAACAAAGGAATGCAGACGAAAATCGCCTTATAGTATGACTTTGAGAAACCTAGAATTCCACGTTTATGTAACATGTTACAAATGAATTGTTTGTAATTGTGGGCATGGAAATAATAGAATAAAAATGGACAGTATGGAAATGCATGCAAATGCATGGAAAAAATGTTCTTTGTGCCTTTCCGATCGCCTTGGTTTTTTTTCTTTTTTTTTAAGGGTAAAATTCCTGTAGTATCCGTAGTAACCCCAATGCAATTCAACTCATTCAGATTAAGCTATATTGGTACCCCATTTGCTACATGTAATCTAAGGCCAAGAAGTATAGTCCCAGTTCCCATGCAAGTATGTTTGTCCAAAAAGAAAGATTGATACATAAGTGCAGAAAATAATGTAATGAAGAGTACTTATTGACGCTTGAATGAACTCAAGAGAGATTGAAATACATTTCTACGGATATTATTCAGTTGAAAAAATGAAACGCAAGATAACTTTTCTGTTCCATGTCTCCACGTGCTAGTCCCTTCCTAGCCACATTTCCGTGAATAATTTACCTTATCTCGTTGTAGTCTCGCTGATCTCGCCAGAGCTACTGTGAGAACTACTGGGAACTCCTCGGGTTTTATAACTTGCAGAACACCGAAAAATAAAATGTTCCGAACACATTAGTAGGGGTGAATAGTCATGGACAGGAAAGTATCGAAATTTCCCCGCATCAATATTTATTAACAACTGTAGAAACTTTTAAAATTCCATTTCTGGCAAATAGTTTACTCTGGACTTTAATGTCTAAGTGTGCGTCTGATAAAAGGACAGTTTGGCAAATACATTTGGATGAAAATATGAAATATTTGTTTGGCCAGTATGTTCACAACTCTGAAATATATGAGTGTATAGGACAAAAGGGTGGATTGTGAAGAATGTCAAAAGTTGCATCATGGTTATCGCATAAATGCCCATCGTCGGAAACCCACGGCTGATTTCTCTTGAGAGGAACGTATAGCGTAATCAGCCGTGGGTTTTCGACGATGATAAATCCCAAAGCAATACTCTGTGTATAGTTTTGTATATTACCAATTTCAACAAAATTATACATACTTTGTAAGAGAATAATCCATTTTATTGAAGAAAAAGAAAATATGACACTTTTTAATCTGAATTGATAAAAAGAGCATATGGAGTATTCAAAATTAGTTTTCCCCTAAATTTAATAGTCAAAATTGAAAAAAAAAAATAATACAACAGTTTTCTGTCCAGATGAAAGTGTGTTTGTATCTTAAGTGTCGTCGTGTGCAAACATCGAACAGAAATTGTGTTTTCAATGAATATCTACCAGTATAGGAATAATCTCTTTTTCAAAAAAAAAAAAAAAAAAAAAAAAAAAAAAAAAAAAAAGAATCTCGTTACGGTTAACAAGGATCTTTTTGTGAAATATGCTACAATATATGTACACTAGGTTTCTATTTATCCTGGAGGTGAAAATATTCTGAGATCGTTCTCATGTGATGTACAATCAAGTCTGTCCAAATCAAGGTTCAAAACCTCAGTACTTAGTTCTTTCAAAGTAGTGTATTATGCAAAACACAAGATGCATTAGTTTTGTTGTATCATATTTTTATCAAGCAGCATATGTCAAGAATATAAGTAATTTATTTCTTAATAAAAACAAAGAGAAGCAATGTACATTTCATTTGCTAACATAAACCCCTAAGTAACAGATTTCTGCTTAACACATTTTAGGGCTTTCGGGGTGCTTATGTGGGAGATCTACACCGGAGCTCGGTTGCCTTACGGTGATTTTACGATAGACGCTGTCATGAGTCACATCATTCAGGGAGGAAAACTGGATAAACCTGCGAAATGTTCAGATGATGTGTAAGATGTTCCAAATACATGAACATTAAACAAGTTATGAACAAAACTTCGAATTCTTTATATTAATAGAACAACTATCTAAAATATTCCATGAAGTAGTAAATATTTTTTACAAATCGGTGGAGACTTGAGAAATGTTAAATTCATTGGATTTCATAAGTATATTCCGAAATTCATAATTTTACAGATGGCAGATCATGCAGATGTGTTGGTTGGACTGTGCGGATGAGAGGCCTTCGTTCAGAGACCTAGAGAAGTCACTACAAACGTACGATGTATTCTAGTTTATTTAAATATTAGTAAGAGGCCAACAAGCCCTGAAGGTCAACATGGGTTTTTCAGGCTATGACCAATTTAGCACTACACTGAAACTTTAGCCTCGTGTTTTTTAGTTTAGTGAGGACTCTGATAATCATTATCACATTCATGAAGCATGTCTGCTAGAACTTCAAGTAAAGTAGATGAGATACTATATACATGTATATACAATATGCTCTTATGACCAACTTAAACCCACCATGACCCTTATCACTGGACATAGAGGACAAGAATCAAAATATGACCAAATAAGCCCCACCCTGTGGTTTGAAACATGGGTACAAGATGCCATCAATCGTACTGTTTTAGTAGAGGGCTAAGTTCTTATTATAATCATGCAAACAATTTGTATGCTAGATGTCCAAGAGCAGAGAAGATAAATTTTTAAATTATAGTGACTTGTATTTCCAATTTATAAACAACTTAGCCCCACCCTGGGGCCTGAACACTGGACCCAAAGAACTTGAATTTTACAATGCGAATAGAGGGCTATAGGTTTTCGTTGTAATCGTTATTATGTTGCCACTTTATCTCCTGCATAAAAGAAGATTTTCAATGATGTATTTTCAATTATATATGCCTGACTTTGTAGTCCCACTCTGGGGTCTTAATCATTGGCCGGGTGGGGAGGGGGCAATTTTGGTAGTTTGCTAAGTGTTGATTATTTATTATAAACATTAAAACAGTTACCAGCTAAATGCCCACGAAAAGAGAAGACGTTTCAAAAATGTAATGCATCTTTAAAATGACCAATGAAGCTAAACCCTAATTCCTGAACCCATGTATCCAGGAAACATGAATTTTTACAATTTGGTAAAAGGTTGAGTTTTATTTATTCATGCAAAAAGTTTACCTGCTGGTTCCATGAGTAAAATTCAGAGATTTAAAGATCCAATTTATTAATGAAATTATAATATGTGACAAACTGGAGCTTGAATCCAAAACCTAGGGCGATGATTCTCACAAATTTAGTAAAAGATCCTTCGCTTATTTAAACCATGCCAATACTTTGTCTGATACATGGAACATTGCAATAATTCTGATGGGTTTAGACAGAGTCCATGAAATTCACAATTTTTGTTCCCCTTACCAAAATTTCAAAACCAATATGAAGAATAACGTCTTTCTCTCTCTCTCTCTCTCTGCGATTTGGTTTAAACATAGTCTGTTTCACTTTATGCTCCAGTTATTTGTGAGGGTTTTATTTTGAATAAATTCAAATGACATTCATATTTCATTGTTACAGGTGTCTAACTACTGGCGATGAACAGGAAAGTGAAGGGAATACTGAAGACACCATCTTATTGTGAAAAATGACGTGGAAACTCTCTCTCTCTCTTTCTTATGAATGTACATGTAATATTTTTTTTAAAATTGTTTCAATTTTTATTATATAACATATGATGAAACATCACAACCTTTTATAAACTACAATAAAGATTGTTTTGAATCTAAGCTTGAAGAATTTCGAGTTGGAAATTTTCAACGAGCCACTATGTCTATTGAATTGGTTCCTGCAGAATCAAAAACCTTAAATTTTCATACACTCTGAATCATTTGTCGATATATATTACATGGTATATTTTACAGAATATACATAAAACATGTTACATTTACATGTATGTTCTCAAATCAGAGTACCTAGATCAACACGATCTAAGAATAGTGTACACGGAAGATATTTATTACACCGGGTTGAAAAGTTCAGCGCTATTTGTTTAGCGTTATTTATACCAAAAAAAAAAAAAAGAGATAATAATTGGTTATGAGCAATAAACAGGCAATAAACAGTTAGCAAAGAACAAGGTACGATTTCAATACAAATCTTGCCCTGTGTTTTTCTTAAAAATAAAAGTGATGTAAAAAATTAAAACTCATGCTTTTTGAATTATTGAAATTCCATGCAGAAAGATCATACAAATCTTTTTTTTCTCACATGACCTTCCAAATGCTAATTGTGACGTCATAAACCTGTGCATTTTCCCGTATTTTCTTAAAAAGTTGCAGAAGACATGAATTTTCAATGGAATTTTCTTTCAAATAATATTGTCCACAGGCATCGCCCACAAAGATTTTGAGATATGTGATTTTTCAAAGAATTTTACACAACATATCTAAAATTTAACGTGGGCGACGGCTGTGAACACTATTTTCTTAAGGAAAATAACCCTTGAAATGGGTCATTTTTAGGCTTTTTCTGTTTAAAATAGAGAAATGCATCAAATTAATGACGTCATATATCCAGAATGATACTCCATCATGCTATATTCTTTCCTGATTTATTACAGTCATATACTCAACTTATATTTGAGCCAGTTTCAAAACTTTTGAAAACATTAAATTTTTAGGGCACAATAAAGCTAAAACCATACCTTCTTCTTTACAAATGACAAACAATATGTAATAAGCGATTAACAAATGACATGCCGTTTATGATTTACGTAAGGTTGCACTGCAATGAGTGCAAGAGACAACTGCATTGCTTTGGTCTGTACATGTAATTTTAAAAATATTTGGCCAATTCAATTGTGTGTTCATTTTCCTTCCGTGGGTAGTTAATGTTTGTCATAATAATATCATAGAAACAAATATAGAAAACAGTTTGAATGTTATTTTAGGTCAGTCGATTATTTCTTGTATAATTATGTTTTTACATTTTTTTTATTCTACGGTTACTCAGAGAGTCCTGTCACGACGCCAAATTCCCCCTTTCCCCTCCTACCAAAATATTAAAAAAATTAGAATTAAATGAAAAAAAAAATTAAGGAAACCAAGAATAATAATTTTACCGAACGACTTATACATGAAGAGTTGAGACGAGTACAGAACAAAAGGACATGAGTGAATTAAGAGAGGAAAATGCTCAAAGTTGAAAAATAAGGAAAAAATTTAAAAAAAACATTCAATTTTCTTTTATATATATCTTTTTCATATATATATATATATATATATATATATATATATATATATATATATATATATATATATATATATATATATATATATATATATATATATATATATATATATATATAAAATAAAACCTACTTTCAATAAAGTGTATTAAAAAAAAAAGAAAATCTATTTATTATACTTTCTTTAATTTATAAATATTTCAAAATCATCAAATAACATCTTTTAATGTACATGTACCTTCTTAACGAAAATTAATGGCTGTAATTTTGTTTTATTTCTTGCGACTAAAATATATTTCATGTTGACATCCACACCTTGTATTTCTTACAAATACACATCGACTATTGCGTCCAAACATTTATTACGAAAACAAAAAAAATCTACAGTGCATAGAAATCGAACATCTGAAACATAATCCTCCTACATGTTCATGTTCTTCTTCACACTAAAACTATAGTATTGCTGGAGAAGTTATTACTGATGACGTAAAAATAATAATAAGGACCTTAATTCACTTATTTTTAAAAGTGCCAAAATTTCGGGAACCCCGATCTTTCAACTGGCGTCATAATTTCATAGATATTATGAACTCTGTGGAAGGTTACGCCAAGCGAAGGGCCATATACATGAAAAAGAAGACACTGACACCTCACTTTGACTAAATGGATAAGATGTCTAACATGGATGTTGAAATCTCGCATTAGGCGGTTGAGGAGAACTGGATTTAATTCTGCAAGTGGTAATCCAACTTACACTCATAGTTCCCTTTCTAACGAGGAAAGTCTTTAAAATCATATCATATCATATGTTGACAGTTTAAAATATTTTTAATATCCCCAACAATCAAATTGAATTTGAATTACCATACCTTTACTGGATTCCTTAACTACATAAAAATCCTTACAAAGTGAAACATAGTAAGTTCCAGTAAATGCTCTATCAAGCCTCTTTCTTTACTCCTACTGAAATATTTCGAACAATGAAGGAGAAACTTCAGGAGTACTGTACAACAATATGGATACTTTAAAACTCTAAGGAACTATTAGAAAATTTGAAATCACAAAATTTTACAAAAATCAATAACATCAAAACGCACGAAGTTTAAAACCCCAAGCACCAACTGTTCAGAAGTTATGGCCAAGGTTAAAGTCTCTTAAAATTTTACAACGTGAAAGGCTTGTCTTTCCAGAAATTAAAACCACTACTTTAATATTGGTTCTTCAGCGATTTTGGAAATGAAGCGTAGTTTTAAAATAATTGTTTGGTAAAAAAAAATGGAAAAAAGTAGAAGGTTAGTTTTCTTCTGGTAGATGACTCTCCTTATCATTTTTAAGGGTCTGTGTTTTCTGAGTTGCAGGAAAGGGGGGGGGGGGAAGGTCATTTTTTCGTTACATTTACATAGCAATTTAAAAACTCCGAAATTTCCGGGGGTGGAGGCCCTCAGCTGCTTGCGGAGATGATTGAATCTGCTTAATACCCGAAATGAAAGTATAAAACATTTGCAAAAAACAAATTGGATAGAATATAATCTCTTATTTTTTTCCACCAAGAGTTACCTGGTAATGATTATTCATATCAATATAAAAGCACCCTTAGGTAGGGCAGATTTTTGATCAAATCATGGTCCAGGAAGGTAGGATGGGCAACAAGATGGAGTCATTTTTTTTTTTATAATTATAAGAGTTTTAATGATTCTTTATTATAAATTTTGATCCCCAATTGTGCCCCCTCCACTCACATCACTAATCCAGGGGTCATGATTTCAACCCATTTCTGTCAGCACTACCTGAAGATGCTTGAATTGTAATTAGACTAATTAGTCCTGCTATTCTTGAGAAGGTTTTTAAATTTTTTCCCCATATATTTCATGAGAAACTTTGACCCCTATGTGGCTCCACCCTATCCAGGTGGGCCAAGATTTGAACAACTTGAATTTACACTATCTTAGGATGTTTGTATATTAACGTAACTAATTAAGACGAAGATTTTTAAATGTTTTTTTCCCTATACTTGTATATCCCCTTCACTTTGATCCACTATTGTTACTCCAACCTAGCCTTGGGGCCTCAAGTCAATTTGAACCTAACTTTACACTTTCTAAGGAACTTGCATATTAATACATATATGACTAACCATGGCTCTGCCGTTCTTGAAAAGAATTTTTGCCTAGCACGATCTAAGAATAGTTTGCACAGTATTTAATTATTATCACGGGTTGAAACGTTCAGCGTTATTTTTCAGCATTATTTATACCAAAAAATGGTTTGAAATTAAGGAATAACTGTCTAGTTTTTTGGTTTTATGATGTAATCAATCAATTTGCTCGCGTGATAATTTGCATAAACGCCTTCGGCGTTTATGTGTAAAATTATCACGCAAGCAAATTGATTGATCATCATCATAAAACCAGAAAAAACAGACAGTTATTCCTTATATTTACATTTTTATCTGATCCCTGATTCAATTTAAAAAATTCAATAATAAGAAATCTAAGCATCCCCAGCATGTGAATTACTAAGCAACACGCAGGGGAAAGCATGCAGTTCTGTCACGTGCTGAGCAAATCGATTTGTGGGGTTATAAAGCCATTACCTTAGTTGTAGTTTTATCTCAGAGAAAGACACTGGAAAACGTAAATATTAATTGTCTATGGGCAATTAACAGTTAGAAAATATACAAATTACAAAAAATAATAATTAGCTTCTAACAAATGGCATGTCGTTTATGATTTACTAAAGGTCGTATTGCAGTGAGCGCAAGAAAACTACTTCATTGATTTGGTCTGTACATGTAATTCTAAAAGTAGTTGGCCAATTCAATTGCGTGTTCATTTTCTTTCCGTGGGTAGTTAATGTTTGTCTTAATAATATCATTGAAGCAAATATAAAAAACAATTTGAATAACAGTTTGTTATTTTAGGTCAGTCGATGTTTGCTTGTATAATTATGTTTTTACATTTTTTTCTAATTCTACGGTCACTCACAGAGTCATGTTATATATGACACCCAATACCCCCTACCTTCCCCTCTTACCAGATAAACAAGCATTCTGAGAGTATTGCATTAGCAATACTAGTCCCCTACCGGCAAGTGTAATCTGGTTCCCGTTAAAAATTCATATAATAGAAAATGCCATAATTCCGTCAAAAATCAATGAAGCGGAACGAGATGCGAACGTGATCAATTACTCATCAGGGTAAAGTCAAATACCAAAAATCAACTCAATATCTGCAAGCGTTTAGAAAAAAATCGCGGAAAACCCTTAAAAATTGAAAAGATCGTAATTCCGTCAAAAATCAATGAAGCGGAACGAAATGTAAACTTGGTCTTTAACTCATCAAGTTACACTCACATACCAAAAATCAGCTCAATATCTGCAAGCGTTTAGGAAAAAAGTGCGGAAAACCAAGTGGGACAGACTGACAGACAGAC